GGGAGGAAGGAAGGAAGGAAGGAAGGAAGGAAGGAAGGAAGGAAGGAAGGAAGGAAGGAAGAAAGAAGTTGTCCTGGAGATGGTTGTGAAGATTAAGGGAGACAAGGCACCTACTACTAATTGTAGGGATTCCCTCCCAGCATTCTCTTTCTTGGCAGAGCAGAGCCTTTGCAAACAGGTTACCGACAGACCTGTTCTGGGGGTGTGGGGCGCTCCCAGCTTCCTGCTGGTTACCTTCTGAGTCCAGGAGGGGCTGCCACCTCAAGGTTCCAGACCCCAGAGGGACTCTCAGCCAGATGGAGCTTTGAAAGGTACCATGTGACCTGGGGTGCAGGGAGGAGGCCTGGAGTAGTCACTTGTTACCCATGTTCTTCCACAAGGAGCAAGGAAGGGGGAACATTGCGGAGGGGCCAGGTTAGGCCAGCAGGGAGCACCAGCCTCCTCAGCCTCGGCCCCATCAGGCTGGCCAGTGAATGCACCTTCTCAGAAGCTATCTCACCATCAGCTACTTTGATTACTTTTCAGACCTGGGCCCTGTTTCCCTAGTGATGTCACCTTCCTGCATGCAAATTCTCCAACCAAGAGCACCCCGCCCCCCAAACACACACCCAAGGTCTACAGGACTGAAGTGGAGATCCCTGGGGCATCTGGAAAAAGGTGAAAGGAAGGGGAGGCAGCTGAGAGAGATCTACCAGGGGTCTTGGCAGCTCCTTCCACTCTAACCTCCACCTTTCTCCCCCCGTCACCCCCAGCCTTGGATCCAGCAGTTGCTCAACAAGGGGAACAATTTCTAGGACAGGTGGCATGGGATGAACCCCTCCCCCGCAAACCAGTGTACTGTGGCCTGGGACTCGGAGACACCAGCTAAGAATATGTATGTAGGTCAACCAAGATGAACTTTACAGCACCAGGAAAAAGCTGAACACGTTCAAAGAAAGATCACATTCCTGGATGACAGAGCCCCAGGAGGGGTGGGGGATGCTGGGGGCACTCTTACCCAGTGTGCTGCAATAAACAACCAATGTTCTCTATCTGTGCTGTCCAGTACAGCTGCTACTGGCCACATGTGGCTACTGAGCACTAGAAATGTGGCTACAGGATCAGGTTACAATACATGTAACTGAGGAACTAAATTTTCAAAATGCCATTTAATTTGAGTTACTTAACATGCGTAGGTTCAAGTTCCTAGGCATCTCATCAATGGTATACTGAAACGGTGTTATCTGAGGACCTGCTGTAACTTAAATTGAAATAGATACATGGCCAGTAACTACTGTGCTGGATACTGCAGGTTTAACTTCCAGAGGACAAGAACAGAGGAGCGTGGTTAGAAGGCCAGGCCTGTCCGTGTTTGCACCTCAGCCTGGCTACCCCCTAGCTGTGTGACCCTGGGCAAGTAGCTTAACCTCGCTAAGTCTCACTTTTCTTGTTTGGATAGAGATGATCACGGTGATACCACCACCCAGGGTCTTCTGGGGGAAACAATGAGATGCTATATGAGAAATGATTAACACAATGTCCCCATCAATAATTGTTATTTTCTGAGGCTCAAGTCTGTGAAGACAGCTAAAGCATATCTCTTGCCATGGTCTGAGCCATTATAGTGAGCCTGCAAAGTCAGGGTGACAGAATATTTATTGTCCTCTAGAAAGAGCACTGCATGGGGAGTCAAGAGCACTTGAGCTCTTGAGTAGCAATAGAGTATAGTTGTCAAGAGTATGGAGCCTGATTGCTTGAGATCAGATCCCAGCTCTGCCACCTATTAGCTGTGTGCTTTTGGACAAATTACTTAACCTCTCTGTGCCTTGGTTTACCCTCTATGGAATAGAAATTATAATCCCACCTTGTACGAGGGGCCCTAGCTGGGCCCCTAAATTGCTGGGTGACCTCAAACAAATTATTTGCTCTCTCTGGGCCGCAGGCTCTTCCTCATATTACTGCGGCATCAAGTGAGGTGGAACAGATAAAGTCCAAAGATGCTTGGCAGAGTTGTTCCTTAGGATTTCCTTATGCCCCCTTTGTCCCGCCCCATGGCCCTGGCTGGCCACTCACCGATGATGATGCTGCAGGTGAGCAAGGCGTAGAAGGAGGTGGTCTGCTTAAGCAGCAGGTAGGAGAGCAGCACATTGAAGACGGTGGTGAGAGAGCGGCCCACGTTGTAGAAGGCCACACCCACGTACTTCAGGCAGAGGTTATTGAAGGTGATCATGCCAATGAAGACCACCGACAGGGGCAAGATGCTGCGGGCTACCTTGAGGTCCAGGCGCAGGGTGGGAAAGTCCATGGTACCAGGGCAACAGGCAGCCAGCATGCTGAGGCCCTTGCACAGCAGCGTGGTCACCAGGCACTGGTAGAAGGTGACGAAGATGGGGGTGTCCAGCAGCAGGGAGGGGCTGTCCAGCAGGTACTTGTTAAGAAACACCATGGAGATGGAGATGACCCAGTAGAGAGAGACTACCAGTGTGATCTGCAGTGCCCGAAGCAGAAAGGGGTTCTTCTCGCTGGCCTCTGCCTCACCAGAGGGGTCGGAAGCCCCCATCAGTGCCATGTGCAGGATCCTGGAGCGCTTCAGAGGGGCCCTGTTCATGGTAGCAAAGGTGCTGGGTCACCCTACAGTCAGAACCGATTTCCTGGACTACAGGGCAGTGAGCTCACTTCTGCCTTCGGCAAGCCACAGCCCTCAACTGACACCGGTCTGGGGTGGGCTAGAGGCCTCTCCACCGTCCACTTGGAGAGGTTCTGCTTTGGGGTGATCCCCACAACCTGCTACCACCCTGAGAGGGCTCATGAGATGAGACACAGAGAGGAGTCTGCGAACAGGCAAATAATCTGTCAGGGGAGAAGAGGCTGGAGCCTAGCAGGGAGGGGTCGCAGGGAGAAAGGAGGGTAGAGAAATGGAAGAAGAGGGAGCAGGGATGCAGGACGAAGGTGCTAGAAAAGAGCAGAGGACAGCATGGGGAAATGGTGCAGAGAGAGGAAGGCATGGGCAGATACGGAAGATGGGTTTGCAGGGATAGAGGGGTAGGTCTGCAGGGAGCTGAACAGAGTAAGGGCGTGCGGGGGGGTCTGGAAAAGGGGGTGCAGGGGATGTCAGAGGTGCTTAGGGAAGGGGGAAGGGCTGAAGGACGCAGGAGAAGACCAGCCTGGCGTTAGCCCTTGGCGCGAGGCCTTCTTGGGCGCCGGCTCCAGCTCAGCCCGGGAACCTCCGGACATCCGAGGCCGCTCCTCCGGCGAGGCGGGCTCAGGACTCATTTCCTGACACGCCTCCGACCCCTTCCTTAAAGAGCCCGCACGCTCAGCGTCACTCTTAAAGCCATAGCCGCAGAGAATCAGCCTTCAAAATCAGACTCGTGTTGGGACCCGGGTCACCTCTCAGCCCTTGTGCACTCGCGGCCGGCTGATGGCGTGTGTGTGTGTGTGTGTGTGTGTGTGTGTGTGTGTGTGTGTGTGTTTCGGCAGCTGCAGTAGGTTCCCGTGGGTGCTTGAGCCTCGGCTCCTTTCCTATAAACTCCGCTAGCTCTGTTGCCTCCAGAGGTTAACTCACGCTACTGGGCTCATCTGCAGGACTGAGCTTCCTCTGCACCGCCCCGCGTCCCTCTGCGTCTAGACACCCTCCCGCGCCAGCCCTGTCCTCCTATAGCCCCAGCTCACTCTTCCCAAGCCTTGTTGCAGTTTCCTCCTTCCACCCATTTTCACCGCCCCCCTCTCTTCCAAACCGGAGATTCCCGGCAGCGTTCCCAGAGGACAGAGGCCACACCGCCCCTGCCGGACCTCAATCTGTCCGCTGGTCCTCGCAATCGACTCCCTCCCGGCGGCCGGATTCGAACTTCAATGCAGCATCCTCTCCCCGTCTCCCTCCCGCTGGCAAAACCCCTGCCCCACACCTAGCCCAGCCGCAAGCTCCGACCCTCTGGCTGGCGTCCCGGGACCGCGAAGACGACCGACCCCGCGCTCCCTCTGTCCTCTGCGTTGGCTGTCGGTCCGCGCCACTAGGTGCAACACCTGCAGCACAGCACCTGCAGCGTCTTGCCCCGGGCCGCGCCCGAGGGAGACTACTTCCTGTTCCCGGGCATTGGCGCCCCGCCAGCCTCACTGGCCAGCTCACCCCATGGGGCCCAGGGGTGGCGGCGGGGCGACCTGGGCCCCAGCCTGCCTTCAGGCCCGGGTTATCCAGGGTCGCGGGAGCAGGCCCCCTCTTCTTTCCACAGGCACCCCAACACCCCCGGTACCCGGCTCCGGCCAGGTTCCCCGAATCCCCAGCTCCAGTTACCGAAGCTTGCACGTCCCGGAATCCGGCTGCATCTCTTGCGGGTCGCGCATCCGACCTGCGCTTCCAGAAGTGTGTGTGGGTAACGGCTCGGGTTCTTTCTGCTGGCAGTGAGTGGATAGTCCTCAGTCCCCCATCAGGGACCGAGCCTGGGAAGTTGGTCACCAGCCCGGCCCGTCACTCACCAGGCAGCCGAGAGAGCCCACTTCTGCCTTGTTCCCGCTCAAGCACCATCGTTGTGTGGCTCACTTCTGAATTCTCTTTGATAGAGTAGGTAGATAGATAGAAATGAGCAGGAGGAGAAATTTAGCTCCTGTTAGAAAGCCCATTGCTGAGGCTCCTACTTGGGTCAAGACCCCTGACAGCTGCCTAGCAGGACTCCTTGCTTACACATACCTCTAAATCAAAGAGATATGTTGTTAAAAAACAGAGAAGGGGGAACCCATCCTGTTTGTCACCAATACCACCCAACAGGACTCCAGGTTTTCATGTACCCCAAAGGTATGTGTAAACACATCTCCCCAAACCAAGAGGATATGTTTACTCATGCTCCTAAATCAAAAGGATATGATTACACATGCCCCTGAATCAAAGAAATGCATTGCTAAATGCCAGAGGACTAGGCACCTGGCGAAGAAAGAGAGATAAGAGAGGGGAGAGGGGAAGGCAATTCCACCCTTAGAAATAAAAGCTTTCCTGCAATGTAAGGTGAGGCTGCTTCCCTCCCTTGGGTCAGCCCACTCTGTGTCTTGGAGTGTACTTTCTTTTACTAATAAACTTCTGTGTTCTTGCTGCACAAGTTTCTGTATCTTGATTGAAATCTTTCCTTCAAGAAGACAAGAGCAGAGGTTTCAACGTCATTTCCCCAGTAACATCATTGTAAATCTAGGAGGCTTGACTATACCAGCGGGTCTCAACCTCCATATTCAAAATTCTAGCTGGTATGGTTGAAAGTAGAGACTACCATCTGTTTGTTATATTTCAAACACCATTTAATTAGTACCATTTAATTGACTGGCAAGATGTTTGAGATTTGCTTTAAAATACTCAGAATATTTACCAAAAAGGGAATAAAAAGGTCAATAGATAAAACAAGATAGGCAAAATCTTGATAATTGTTGAAGCTGGGCCTAGTTACCTGGGGTTATTGATACTGTTCTAAGGTTCGGCTGCCTGCTGCTTGCAAAAGTTAAAAATCGAGAGATATGGTAGGTGGAAAGAAAAGCAGGTTTATTCAGAATGCTGGCGGATTCCTGTCCAGAGGCCACCTCCCCGTTCCTACACCAGTCAGAAGGTTTTTGTAGGTACAAAGGAAAGGGAGAATCGGTTAGGCAGGTCCGAGGGCTGACATCACTTCCTGGGATCTGGTCCGTTTTAAGATAATATTATCTCCGGACTCTGGACTCAGACTCAGCCATAGTGGCCTGGGAATTAAATGTGTCACTCATTAGTAAATACCGCAAGGGAGTTGTAAATTGGATTCCAGTGTCCGGGTGCTTGAGGATTAAGAAATTGTTCTTTCCGGGGTGACCAGTTAGCTCAGTTGGTTTGAGCATGGTGCTGATAACACCAAGATTGCCGGTTCTGTCCCCGCATGGGCCACTGTGAGCTGCACCCTCCCTAAAAGAGTCAACTATGTTATTGTAGCGTGAAAGCAATGTGTAACCAATGACCATGGCTGTTCCCCAATAAAATTTAAAAAAAAAGAAAAGAAATTGCTTTTTCCAGTTCAGGATGTTGTTAATTAAAGAGGTATGGTTGGCCTTGAGAAAGGGAACAGAGTTTTTCAGTTACTCAGTGAGGGGAGAAACAAAGAGGAAATAGCTGAATATCATGGTGGGTCAAACTGCAGACTCACTAAGTCTAATTACATTATTGATTTACCAAATTTCACCCTTACATTATCAGCAGAGTCTTCTCACTTTTGTGTCCATTTGGAAGTTCCTTAATTAAAGATAAAACCTAAGGAGTACATTTACAGTCTCACATGTTCACTGCATAAACCCTTGCCTGAGATTAACACAGCCCCTGGTGGGCTATGGGGGCCTGGAGGAGTCATGGGAAATAAGCAATGTCCAGCAGCCCCAGGCCCTGTCCTCTTCCACCAGCCCTCTGGTCCTCACTCTGTGATGCCCACGTTTCCCATTTCTCTAGGGATAGCACTTCTGCTTCCTAGTTATGGGCTTTTTTTCAGGTGGAGGTTGCCATCTGGTCACTTTGTCACCTTAGGGATCAAATTATTCCTTTGGGGAAGGAAAGACTTAAAAGGACTGAGCCAGTCATCTGAACCCTGCTTGGAGAGCCTCCTTCCAGGGCCCAACTTGGAAGGCTGTTGGTTTGAGTTTATGAAGAGCAATGCCTACTCGAGTCTCTTCTCTCACTGTGCTCAAAACCAACTGAGCTAACTGGCCACCCGACAAATAATTTAATGATAAACAGGGCAAGCTTGTCTCTGAGAGTCCCTGGATCCCTGAAAGGGCCCTTCTCCTTGGCACATTAACAGGAATTAATTTATGTGATGAATGTGTTGCCACCTTGAGCCCCTAGGGAAGAAATATATACTGTATATAGGCAGATGCACTTCACTGAGAGAGAACAGGGGTAGTCCATGCTGGGTGTGTGGGGCATGGTCTGGGCTCTCCTCCGGCTGGCAGACCAAAGTGTATGCCTGCCCCCTCCAACCTCTCCCCTTACATTGTACCTGAAATTCCACCATTAGCTTCACTCCTTTGCATTAAGGTTGTAATAGGCCAGTACATTAAACTTCACAGATTTCAATCCTTTTTGTTCTTTATGAGGGAAAGGGAAAGGAGGGAATGAGGGGATGTAAGGCCTCAGGAGTTGTGCACTAGGTGCAAGCTGCTTTTGAATTTTTCGTAAGGAATGCTAATTGTTTAAACCGTTCACGAAGGGTGAAGTTGTAGATTTTTTCAAGAGTAATTAATTACCCAGTATGTGAACTTGGTGTGGCCGGTGGAAGGATGTAATAAGCCAGGGAGTAGAGCCCTTTATGGGTGTAGTCCTATTTCCTTGCCTGGGCTGGGAGCCACTAATGATGGCAGAAGATGATTTCTACCAGAATGGGTGAACAGAACTAACTTCCCAGGTGTAGGGGACAGAAATCTGTACCAACAGGGCCTGAGAACTCCATTTTATTTTATTTATTTATTTATTTTTTATTTATTTATTTTTTTTTAGCTGAGCCATCCCGCCACCTGTTGGCAGCTCACGGCTGCTCAGCTCGGGCTGACTCGAACC